GTCTTCTGGTCTAAAGAATTATTATGTTTGATGTGTAGACTTGAGAAGGTTAACGTCAAGAAAATACACAGCCAAGCCAAGATTCTAGGGACAGTTGTGACAGTTGGTGGAGCAATGCTTATGACTCTTGTGAAAGGACCTTTAATTCCATTGCCTTGGGCTAATCCCAACGACCATCATCAAGATTCATCCAATACCGGGATCAAACAAGATCTTACCAAAGGCGCACTGCTCATTGCTACTGGTTGCATTTGCTGGGCCGGTTTTATCAATCTCCAAGTAACTTTAAAGTCCAGGATTTACATATCATTCAATATATTAGAACCGGTTAATTATAGTATTGAACACACTCAAATTATTACTTATGCAGGCGATCACGCTTAAATCGTACCCGGTAGAGCTATCCTTGACAGCTTACGTATGTTTAATGGGGTCTATTGAAAGCACTATTGTGGCAATTTTCGTTGAAAGGGGAAATCCTGCTGCTTGGTCCATCCAATTGGATTCCAAATTACTAGCTGCTGTTTATGGTGTAAGCTTAATTATACTAATATAGAATTAGGGTTTGATTCCGGTTAATTGTATGTATACAAAATGAAAATAAATGATCCTGCTGTGATTTGATGCAGGGGGTGATATGTTCAGGGATTGGTTATTACGTTCAAGGAGTAATAATGAAAACTCGAGGACCGGTGTTTGTGACTGCCTTCAATCCATTGAGCATGGTTATTGTTGCGATCTTGGGTTCTATAATTCTTGCTGAGGTTATGTACCTTGGGAGGTACGTCAACTTTTAAAGCTCTTGAAAATAGTTAATGATTTGACAACTATCATTAATCCAACTATCTAAATACTATTTGTAGGATTCTTGGAGCAATAGTGATAGTTCTTGGACTCTATTCGGTTTTGTGGGGAAAAAGCAAAGACGAACCATTTTCGTTTTCAGACATTGACAAGGAACTCCCACTTAGTACTTCTTCAAAAGCAAATGGAGAAATGGACACAAAGGATGCAAGTGTTGTGATCTCGAGGCCTAACACCAATGGACCAGTCTAAAATAACACTAACGGCTCGATTATAAAATAAGATATAATAAAAGAAGAAAATACAATGAGTCCGATTTCCAAATTATAGCGGATCGATCGGTGCTTATTGGTAGAGTGTTATTGTAATGCTAATTTTGGCTTTGGTTAAATTTTGTATGCGGC